TTAAAAGTAAAAGGGGCATAACTCTGCCAAAAATCATCGAACCATGACCAAATTTGAACTTGACCTGTATTTTTCTCATGACATATCCATATGTCAAGTTTGAGTTGAATGTGTTGTACCATTGGGGAGATAATGAACGGGAAACTGAAAATTTTATATTTTTTTTTCAAAGAAAAAGGGCATAACTCTGCCAAAAATCATCGAACCATGACCAAATTTGAACTTGACCTGTATTTTCTCATGACATATCCATATGTCAAGTTTGAGTTGAATGTGTTGTACCGTTGGGGAGATAATGAACGGAAACTGAAATTTCATATTATTTTCAAAGTAAAAGGGGCATAACTCTGCCAAAAATCATCGAACCATGACCAAATTCGAACTTGACCTGTATTTTCTCATGACATATCCATATGTCAAATTTGAGTTGAATGTGTGCAACCGTTCTTAAGATAATGAACAGAAACTGATGATGACGGAATGACAGAATGACGGAAGGACGGAAGGACGGAATGGCGGAACAGGGTAACACTATATGCCCTGGCCATTACATGGCGGGGGCATAAAAATTGAAATTCAAAAGGCAATACAGTCCATCCTCTGCATAGCAACACTCTTTAGAAGACCAAGATTCTGGTTGTTTCTGACAGCTTGTGAGAGGTTAAACTTATTGCAAAGTCTAACTCTGGAAGAATTGAAACTCTTCTTATAAAGAAGAAACTATTTTAGAAAGGGCCATTCTATGGAGGTTACACTGTATAACCTTATCCTCTTTAATTATCATTTCATTTGAGTGATCTATATTTATATCAGTTGATTGACCTTTATATCAGTTGATTGACCTATATTTACCCCCATTTTAAACAATTTCAATATTTATCAATGGTAGGGAAATAGAGCTTACATGTCACCAGCTTCCTTTATGTCAGTATATACAAACATAATTCTCTCTCTAGAACTTCTTGCAAACTCTTCAAATATCTCTCTTTCTGGAAAAATAATACATGGGTGCCAAAATCTTAGTCTATACAAGAGGGCCATGATGGCCCTGAAGTCGCTCACCTGTATATAGGCCCCCGGAGCGGGGGCAGTTTAAACCCCAGCGCTTTTATTTGAACAAACTTGGTAGACACCCATTAGAAGAAGTTTCATGCTAAACATCTAAGGTCTAGCTGGTCAAGTTTTTTCTTTACACATATACATGTAGTTAAAAACAATGACACACCTGGGGCAGGGCCAGTTTGGACCCAAGGGCTTTTATTTGAACAATCTTTGTAGGCACTTACTAGAATATGTTTCATGCTTAATATCTAAACTCTAGCTATTCGGTTTTTTCAAAGAAGATTTTAAGTTTTTGCTATACACATATAAGGAAAATCAATGTCCCCCAGGGCGGGGCCAATTTTGACCCCAGGGCTTTTATTTGAACAAACTTTGTAGACACTCACTAGAAAATGCTTCGTGCTTAATATCTAAACTCTAGCTATTTGAGTTTTTTCAAAGAAGATTTTTTAAGTTTTTGTTATACACATATAAAGAAAATGAATGACCCCCAGGGTGGGGCCAATTTTGACCCCAGGGCTTTTATTAGAACCAACTTGGTAGACACTCACTAGAAGATGTTTCATGCTTAGTATCTAAACTCTAGCTATTTGTTTTTTTTCAAAGAAGATTTTTTAAGTTTTTGCTATACACATATAAGGAAATTCAATGACCCCCGGGGCGGGGCCAATTTTGACCCCAGGGCTCTTATTTGAACAAACTTGGTAGACATCCATTAGAACATGTTTCATGCTAAATATCTTAGCTCTAGCTCTTTGGGTTCTTTAAAAGAAGATTTTTTAAGTTTTTACTATATGCATATAGAGAAAATCAATGACCCCCTGGGGCGGGGCCAATTTTGACCCCAGGGCTTTTATTTGAACAAACTTGGTAGACACTCACTAGAAGATGTTTCATGCCAAATATCTAAGCTCTAGCTCTTTGGGTTTTTTAGAAGAAGATATTTAAAGTTTTTTTCTTTTGGTTGCCATAGAAGATGTTTCATGCCAAATATCTAAGCTCTAGCTCTTTGGGTTTTTTAGAAGAAGATATTTGTTAGAAGTTTTTTTCTTTTGGTTGCCATGGCAACCAGAGTTCTGCATGGAATTAAATTCTTTGAACAATTTTCATAGGTGACCACGAAAGGAATATTCCTGTGAAGTTTGGATGAAATTGGCTTAGTGGTTTATGAGGAGATGTCATTTAAAGTAAAAGTTTACGGACGGACGGACGGATGATGGACGGACGGAAGCCGGACGAAAAGCGATCACAAAAGCTCACCCAGTCACTTTGTGACAGGTGAGCTAAAAACAATAATTATTGTGGCGGATAGGCTTATCCAATCTACCATATCCAAAGTAATGATTACCGGTAATTCCAAAGAAACAAGACTCATGACTACTTTATCACACATGTTAAATAAGTAATGTTATTTTTATCTTATTTTCCCACCAAAAAATACTCTTTGCACAATTCAATGACCACATCATTGTGAAGAAAATAATTGTATAAATTTCATATTTCATCTTTACAACTGAAAGCATTTCTGTATAGTTTGTCCAGTCTCTACACCTTTGATTGACCATCTTGCACATTTCATTGCTTTTTCACTTAAATTGATACTAGACTGCTTTAAAATAAAGTTGAGACCTGTCTAAGTAGGAAATTCTGCAGATTTATGTTAAAAAAGCTGCCTGTCACTTCTGCTGCAAAAATGGAAGCATTGAAAAATTCATTTTCAGGAAAGTTTTCAAAAAATGCTTCTAATCCTTAAAAATTTAATGGGATTTATGAATCTATCTTAAACTTTATCCATTTCCTGAAATGATGTATGTATTACATACATTATAACATTCTTGAAAAATGCAATGTCAAACCTTTTTTATCTTTTTTTCTAAAGAGTCCAACAACAGTAGTATTTGTAACTCCAGTCAGTGTGCTCTCCCCATTTCCATCTATATATTGCATCAGTTTATTCTTATCTGTCTCATATACAGGAGGGGATAACTCTAACCTAAATGTCAGAGAGTTATGATAATGAAAGTTTCATGAGAAAATGAATGGAAAAAAAAGAACCTGTCATATAAAGCCAATAGCTGCGACAGAAATACAAGAAGTTAAAAAAAATTAAAGAATTTATCTTTGTTTTAAGTACTGCCAAAGGACAGCACACTTGGCTATTTTCAGTACACAATATTTTGTAAAGTCAAGCTAAAAGGCTTAGAACAAGTGTTCCATTTGCAATAGTTTAAAAGTAAATAGTTAGCATAAAAGTAGATAAATATGAATTCATAGAACCAATTTGATATTTATCTTTTCTAAAAATGTCCTAAGGAGTCTATTAATAAGATAGGAATAAAGGTTAAATTGTCATAAGAGACACAACAAATGGTGTGATCAGTGTAGGTGACACTTCAGAAGTATAAAAACATTTGAAAATAAAAAAAATATGCCATATTAAACAAACAAAGACTTACAACTTAAGTGTGGAGTAAAATGCTTGAGTATCTTGTGGTCCTTTATAGTCCCAGGCCATTTCACCCTTCTTATATATTCTCAGTGTTGGAAATATAGTCAGCTTCTCTTTCTGACAGACATCTGTCCAATCAAAGCAGCTGACACGCCCCAGTTTTATTGTCGTCTGCTTCCCTAATTTGTCTGCTGCTTCTCCAAACATACGTATATTACCGTGACTGAGTGCATCAACTAAGACCAAAGAGATGATTAATGATAAATTTAACAATGTAATTAATTAGCCTGTTGATAATGACTAGTACAGAACCAGGCTAGCATGCGCACCCTTACACTCCGATCTGACCCTATACTATTAGGTGGTTTGGTTTGGCTTGTTGGTTTTTATGCAAATTGTTACACATTTTTGGTCATATCTCTGCAACAAAGCCACCTAACCAGCTTTTCTGGATAACTAACCAGTAATTACCTATTCTCCACAGTGAACAACTACTTTTCCAACATAATTTCTCAATCAAAAGTGAGAGACAATGACCATTAGACTCAAATTCAATGTTCAAAATCAGTTGTCACATCACAGAGAAATTTCGCCTTCCCCGAGGATCTTCTAGACGATACATCTAGTCCTGAATTACAAATCCAAAGCTCTCCCTTTTGAGCTAAGTGGAAGCTAACTTTTAACAACAACAACAATTTCAGCAATCTGAAATTAAAATTCCCTTAAACTGACAACAAACAGTTCTAACTTCAACCCAAGGCAAGTCCATTATACAGTTTAGACAGGGTAATGGTTTAAGCAACTTTTGAAATAAAACATTCCCTCTACCAAGCACTAATTAAATGTGATATTCATATTACCTTCAATAACAAATCTATCAAAAATTGTTTTCTCAAACCACATTATATATTGTATTGTGAAGCAGATTTAATCCTTATATTTGTTATGATATAAACACATTTTTTTTACTAAAAATAATAAAAAAATTTAGTCAATAACATACAATGGAAATAGAACATCACAACAGCGGTGTCTGAATCTTTAATATATTTTGGGAAGGTTTTATCGTTAAGTGCTGGAACCAAGGAAAGTGGCAGCTCAACTTTCCTTGTGACGTACACGGCATCTGCAACAGCATCATCTTGTGTTGACACTGAAATATATATCAATTTATTATATACTTATAAATAAAATACTGAGAAATATTAATAAAATAAAATGTGTATTATCATTTTCCGTATTTTCAATGTAAAAATTTATTTTTCACTGCAGTGAAACATATTTTCTGTATTTTCACTGGTGTCTTGCCAGACTACTTTCTTTTAAATTCTGCCAGTACACAATATATATAAACAGAATGTATATAATAAACAGAAAATTCAAGTTTTTTTCTATAAATACAGGATTTATTTTCATCTTGTGGTATGAAAATTATAATATTTCACTCTTGGCTACCACCACTCATGAAATATTTATTTCCATACCATTTCATGAATATAAATCTTGTATTTATAGAAAAAACTTGAATATCCTCTATATATTCAACATTATTGTATCACCATCACGGCAATCTGACTAAAGTTGAGATCAATTAAAGTGATTTCTTGCATGTAGATCTAAAACACCATATTTGTTTCACCTTTATTGTGACTCTGAATTCACAAGAAAGCTATATTTAGCTACGCAATCAAACCATTCTTTACAGATAGGCAAAGTATTAAAATATCCCTGTCCAGGGAAGTTAAACAAATTGTTGATTTTTTGTTAGAAAAAAAATGTTTGAATTTTAATCAGATTGACCATCACACTTCATTTATTTTGGTCTCAAAATATGTGTCTTGATATTTCACATCTTCCTATAGTTATGAAAATAAGTTAATGTTTTATTAGAAAACTAAAACTACGAAGTTGTTTCTACCAGTATAGATGAAGGTAAGCCATTTAGTGCAATGTGACCTGGCTCTGAGACTATACCTATGGCAGACCAAACTTTAATTTTTCATCCAGATATCACTAAAATTGATAATGGACCGATTTCAAATAACAGTTGGACAAATTTCATTTAGAAAATTGACAGCAGGTTAAAGGTTAGTTTAACACTGATCATCAAAGGCCCTTTATGAAGTATTCCTACAATATATAGAGGATATGTTTAATACTGAATTTATTGAATTATATTATGCGAGCCTCTGGTGAGTAGAATATTATTCTATTCAATGAAGTCAGTGATGAACTTACACAAATTTAGTAATCTATTTATCACATACCAAAAATAAACACAGTCTGAATTGAAAAAAATAATTTTTCATTGATGGGCGTATGCGTATAGCATAATGCAAACATTTAGTGCATCTTGTGCATCCTGACGCTATGACATCACATCAAAATATATACATGTCCCTGCAATACCATTTTTAAGGAGTCGCAAAAGCGTCACAGATATGTGATAAAAACAATAACCAAACCTTCTTCCATGTTGAAGGGTGGATCTTCACTTTGATCCGATGTTTCTTCCAAACCTTCTTCCACCATCTCTGTTACAGGTTTTTCATTCAATGTTATAGATATATAGTTCAAAATACTAGGTGAGTTAAAATCAGATGGAATGAACTCCTCGTTAGCCTAGAAGATAAAAGGCACAGGTACTAGTATTACAACAAACAGGACTTTTAGAGAATCTTTTACCATCTATTAATGCTTGCATTACATGTATTTATATGAAAGAATATTGGTGAATCGCAGGCTGCTTTGACACAGCATTTATTGCCTCCACAGTCATCACCCACAAAAAAGGAATAACAGATACTTGATAAGTAATGATGGGATAGAACTACATGTGTATAACTAAAATATATACGGTATTACTATTTATTTCAAATTATTATTAAATTAGTATATGTAGTTGAATTTTCAATAAACTACATTCTAGTTTATCTAAACTTTTGAAATTCAATTTACATTAATATCAATTAAGTAGGTGAAAACGTAATAAACTAAATTTATCTAAACGTTTTAAACAGTATCAAACATACATACATTCTTTAAATGTTTGTATAATTCACATACATATGTGTTATTCATAAAGATTTAAGCTCTTATGAAATATTTTTTGTGTAATATTATTTTATTTTATGTTTCATTAAATTACATGCATTTACATGCAGCAAAAAGTTTCTGGATAACTAAGTGTAACAAAGTATAATTTGTAAACTTACCTCAGCATTCCTTTGAAAGCTCAGTGTTGGCAATTCTTCCTCTACTTTATATTTTGATTTTGCCTCTTCATTGTCCCTATCAACAAATAAGAACTATTTTTCAATTTACATGTTCTTGTATGATTTTAAGTGTTTTCACAAAATCAGTGAAGGCCAATTGTAACTTCAGTCATCTTATGCATACCAGTAGTTATAAACATGTTATATTTTATTGATGATAGAATAAATAGATATATACATGTAGTTAACAAAGCAAGTCATGGTATGATGCAGGTGTGTGTATGAAAATAGGCAGCCTACTATCATCTTTATCATATTTATTATATATCAAATTGTTATTATGTTATAAATGAAATTAAACTGTGGTTATACATGAAATTATACTGTCACCACTGCTTCATCGCCATAATTGCTATAAATTACAGCAAATAAAAAAAGACATTTAAAATTCTTGAAAAAGACTGTCAAGAGAAGACAATTATACCAAGGATTAAAAGTTTCTTTATTCACACCACTTGTGGCACCTAAAATTATGACACCAAAGAATTACTACACCCTCTCCAGTATCCATTTCATGAAGTGAGTGTAGTCATTTTCTTGGTGACAGAATTTATCAGTGTCCCTGATAGGGCTCAAATTTGGGATCAAGAGATGTGTCTAACCAGTGAACCAGCTTCTTAACAAATAATATTACTGGGCAGCTGATAACATGGTGCAGTGTTAAAAATACATTGTACACTTTTAAGAATATACTTACATATTGACCACTATAATTCCAATTGCACCTCCAAAATATCTGATTAAAACATCTGCTTCCTCGTAGACCTTGTCTTTTGATGCGGCATTATAGTAGAGTTTAACAAGTGGGACTTCAAATGATGAGAAAGGATGTTCTATACCATCACCAGGAATATCAAACTAAAACATAGATAGGAAATGAATAAAAAGAAAGTAAGCTTTAAAACATATCTGTCAAACCCCTGAGGTTTAAATTCTCCCACCTTAAATAGAAATGACACCTGTATTTTACCTAATATTAACGGTCCCCCCTTTCATCTCCACTTTTGATATTTTATTTTTATAAGAAGAATTTTTAAGTTTTTACTATACACATATAAGGAAAATCAATGACCCATGGGGCGGGGCCAATTTTAACCCAAGGGCCCTTATATGAACAAACTTGGTACACACCCATTAAATGATGTTTCATGCGAAATATCTTAATATCTTAGCTAGGTAAGGCCCAATGCCAATTCATCTTAGAACATTGGAAGGAATCATTTACAAACTCATTTAATTTCATTTAAATAAAGCTTTTGTTTTGAACTGGATAACATAGGAAAACATAAGCAACAATTGTGTCTCAAATAAAAGAACCCTGCATTGGAAATTTGAAACATGTAATAATACTTTTAACAATACATACTCTGACTTAAATAATACTGTTCAAAATTTGTTATACAAAAGATGGATGAAAAATATATAAACATTTAAGAAATTATAGATATTTTATCTACATATAAAACAATCATACCAGTTTAGGTTTGGATATGGTATTTATGAAGATGGTAAGGTCTTTTTGCGAAAACTTCCTGCCATACTTGACACTGGTAAAGGAGCTATCACTTGCCCAAACCCACCATAATGTTGGCACATTTTTAAGAATTCTTTTACCATCTCTGTAATTGTATAGATATACTTCATGTAAGACAAATAAACTTTCAAACAATATGCTAATTTCAATCTTTTTTAAGAGAATGAAAAAAAGTGACCATAAGGTTAGTCTACTTGTGCCTTCTTGTGCCTAATGTGCCTGGTCGACAATCTAAGGTTTTTCCTCTGCTGGAAAAACTTTAAAGTTACATTGCAGTGATGGTGTGACCAGCCAACTATTTACAGGATAATTGCATTTGGAAACAAATTGATTTCAATGAAGACAAGAGCTGTCCGCAGGACAGATTGCTTGATTATTCTTAGAGATTGATAGTAAAATAAGAGCTTGGATAATGTAGAATTTCAAAAAGTGCCATTTTTCTGTAAATATTAATGTAAGAGTTACAAGCCTTGGAAATTAATCTCATATTGTGCTCTCAAATAAGTGTGGTAAGTTTCAATCCATTCCCTTCAGTAGTGAGTACAATAGCTCTCCTTATTCTTTAAATAGTAGTGTGTTAAGCATATTTTATCAGAATGGATCAGCAGTTTTTCACTTTTGCTTTTTTTTCATTTATACACTATTTTGACAGAATGAATTTCAGTAAATTATCATGAAGACATGTCATCTGAAAAACTTAGATGGCAATCAATTGTTATAAAGAATATTTCATTCGCTTTTTAACTATTTTTTACAACTTTACCCAAAATATTTGGTTGATTTCGTATCCATGATGATGGCAAACTGAAAATTGTCCTTATTAGCATATGCAACTTCAAGGAATGCTCTGTGATCTGAAATCATCAGTTACTGTTATATTATAATAAACCAGAAAATCTACATATATCATGGCTTACATAGTACACATAAATTGAAATTCAAAGTAGATAAATATAATTTGAAAAGAAATAAACTTATATTATGATTCAATGATTTAAGTGAATTAACCCATATAATCACTACATTTTTAACATGAACTTACACTGCTTTGAAACTAGAACTATTCATTGTTAACTAAGAGGGTTAACATTTACACCTCTTAAAATCATAAATGGAATGGTCCATCTTTCAATATGGACAAAACCATTTTTCATTTTAGGTAGAACTTTGTTGTATCAATACATTAGTTGAAAATATGTTTTCATTCACAAATGTTTTCATTAAAAACTGTTTTCTTAGACAAATGTTTTCTTTCCTTATTCATATAAAAAAAATCATGTTTATTATTACCTTAAACAACACATGATTTATTAATTTACTATTTATCTAAATTAGTTAACTTTATAATATAATTAATTTTTTGTAAATGAAGAATTTCTTCATCAGATTCTAGCTATTAAATAAAGTACTTGCAAACATAAATAGTTCTCGACAAAAATTAGAAAAAAAATTGTGATTACCATAGCTACCAAGTGTAGGAAAATATGCCAGCACAAGATCTTTCTTTCCACCTTTGTGGTCCTCAAGGTAAATGCCAACTTCTGTTTCATTTCTCAATAATGGTACATCACGTAACAAAACAAGCCTGCAATGTATTTCTTTATGTGACAATTACATTATCTTGATGATTTGTTTGTTGGTTTTTACGCCAAATTTAACCCATTTTTGAAAATAATATTTCAGCAGGTAGAACACCTAAACGTCACTTCTTGTCGACAAGAAATTAACTATTAATCACACATGATTTCAACAGTGAGAGACAAATAACCACGAGACCTGAGTGTCTGAAATCAATTGTCAAGGAGAAATTTTGCTTCACTCAAGGACTGAACCAACTAACCCTGGATAACAAATCCGATGCTCTACCAACTGACATTTTATCATGTTTTAGATTTTTGTTGATTAAGTTCATGCCTGATAAATTTAGCTTTATCAGTAACCCCAAGCCTTATCAGACACCTCATCGATACATTGAAATAAAATGAGTAGAATGGAATATTTATTGCTTTACTAGTTTGAAAATTTAAACTGATAAACTTTGAATTAAATAGATATTTAAACATTAGAGTATCTCTTACATTTGACTAAAAGCATTCAGAACTACATGTATTTCTTATCAATATGACCCGGCAGAGCCTGGCTCTTCTTTTTTTCTAAGCCTTGCCTGATAAATTCTGTAATATCAGACACTAGCATGGTATTCTCTATAATACTGACATTAAGACATAACTTTAAGAATATAACTTTTCCCAAATGTTTCCTAAAATGAAATTTCTATAACAGAAATCATACCTTAATAAATAATGAGGCATTAAAGAAGACATAATTTATGTAATAAAAGTTTACTTACTGTAGAATATTTCCTACAATAGAATGAGCAGAATACAGATGTCTTAGTTGAAATAACATCTTTTGCTCCCCAGACCTGTAATATATATTTCATATATAAGTATTATCACATAAGTATGTCTATGACAGAGTATTATTTGATTTTTTCTGGATTTTAATATATATTTATTTTGTGATATCTTGGCAGTCAATCCACCTACCAAGTTTTCCTGGATAATGATCCAGTTATTACCAATTCCACCGCAAGTGACCCACATGATTTCTGAATCTGTGTAAGCGGCAACTGAACATGAGATCATCTGTCACAGAGAAATTATTCTTCACCCAAGGACTGAACCAGTGACCCTCTAAACTAAGTGGACAAATAGTAAGATAGAGTAATCAGGAATTTGAATATCTACAATACTGATCAACCTTTAGAAGGCAATAATCAATAAAGGTATTAAGGTTACATGGAAATTGGACAGAATATAGAAGCAATAATTTACCTGTATGTATGAATACTACCCTCTACTTCTGATATGTCACAAATGTTTACATCTTTGTTTACCTCTGTTGTACAGTCAACCTGAAAATATATTATAATTTTACAATTTTCTATAAATAATAACAACAAATTAAAAAAGGTACACATAAGCCTGTTTTAAAAATTACTTTTATAAAAAGTTAATTTTATTTCTGGAAGATACTTCTTGTGTTAAGGTATCTTAGTAATCTGAAGGGTAAGCGATCATAAATTGCTATGATAAAGGCCTTTGAAAAAAAAAAACCAGGATGTGTAAGTTATTTGAAAATTAAAATTTATATCATGATCTGATTAAATATCAGATGCCTTGCTTTAGTCATATAAAATTAGTTAATCTGTTCTAATTATTTTTTTAAGTTATTTAAGGTTAATTTGGAAACAAGTTCTTCAACCATTATTGTTACTTGGGCATATGATATAGAGCTTATACTAACACCTTATACAATGCAACAACAAAACTTTTACTTCTATACTATGTTGCTGCCCCATGCTTGACAAGCAGACCTTGTACTTACAGGCTTTTAACATGCTTTTGCAAAGAATAGCAAATTGTACATAATGCTCTCTAATGGCATAGTGAATGCTCACAATGTAACAATCAAATCTTAAAGTTTAAAATCTTTAAATCTTATATAAAATGTGTACCTTTTAGTTTTGTTTATAGGAATATATAACAAGTACTTACAAATCCTAAGGAGACTTGATAAACCTCCAGGTCCATGGCTGCAAGCTTAAAGTCTCTTACAAAGTACTCAAAATTTTTTATAGCTGAAAATAAATGAGGAAACAAATTGAAAAATGGAATAAATTTCATTTGCAAAAAGAAGTATCAAGTCAGAAAGCCTGTGTTGATTGTATTTTAATAATAAAAAAAGAAATAAAACAATAAGCAAAATTGAGATATTATAATGTAACAATGGTGTCAAACTTACTTTTCTTGGCATGTCTCATTCATTTGTTTCCCAACATACTGTCATCAAATTTTATCAAATTATACAATAGAACAATATTTGCTGTGTTAAGTATTTTTCAAAATGCTGCAACTCCGGATAAACATGTAAAATTTTATGTTTCTTCAGTAATGAACTTTTTATGTTTCTTTCTCAGGGAAGTATATTGGGTCCTCTATTGTTTCTATGTTATGTCAATGATATGAGTATTAGTATTAGCAAAAAATGTAAGCTTATTCTTTATGCAGATGATAGTGCAATTTTATATTCACATAAAGATCCAGATGTTATTTGTAATGTTTTGGGTAAGGAACTAGAAAATTGTAGTAAATGGCTTGTTGATAATAAGCTATCATTACATCTTGGTAAAACAGAATGTATTGTTTTTAGTTCTAAGAGGAAATTGTCAAAACTAGAGCAGTTTAAAATACACTGTAATAATCACACCATACAATCTCAGCCATCAGTAAAGTATCTCGGTTCTATCTTGGATAATGATCTCTCAGCCACTTCTATTGTTGATAATATAGTACAAAAAGTAAACTCTCGATTAAAATTTTTGTATAGACAAGGCAACAGTTTGAATATGGAGCTAAGAAAACTATTATGTAACTCTTTAATACAGTGTCACTTCGATTATACAAGCTCATCTTGGTATAGTGGCCTTACTAAACAACTTAAACATAAACTTCAAGTAGCACAAAACAAAGTTGTTCGTTATATTCATGGTTATTCCTCTAGAAAATCATTGAAAGTTATTGATTTTAGCAGTATTGGGTGGCTTAATATAGAAAATAGAGTCATACAGTTAAGACTCAATCATGTACACAAAATATTTAATAAAAAGTGTCCATCTTATATGTATGATAACTTTTCTTTAAAGTCTGATGTTCATTGTTATAAAAGTAGAAACAGTGTAGGGAACTTTCATATACCCCATGTTAATAGTTTTACAAAAAGTACATTTTTTTACCAGGGTATTAGGGATTGGAACATGCTCCCACTTGATATTAAAAAGGAAAGTAACTTTTTTAACTTTAAAAAGGGAGTAAAAGCTGAACTAAGCAAAAATATGAAACAATTTGAACAAGCTGATTTTATTTTTTATTAGTTTTAGAGATAATTGTTTTAATCAATATAGTATGTTTTATATAAATGTATCTTGTGATTGGTTTTGTGATATATATAAATAGATATCTTTCATTGGTGTGATAACTAGTCATATTCATAGTATTATTCCTGCAAATATGTGATATATGTAATTAACATAATGTGCAATAGAAATTAATATTATTTGATCATAGAAATATAACATCAGTCCAGTATATCATCTCTAAGTATGGACCTGAATGCCAGTTCTCAAGAAAATATATTCTTTACCATCAAAGGACCCCATTGGAAATAAGTTCTCTATTTTATATTGAACTTTCATGGGTTATCCTGTGTTGTATATATTGTCTTGAAGTCAACAAGATCTTTGATTTAATTATGAATGTAAAGTTATTATTTTTCAATTAATTACTGTGTTAAAAACAATGTGATAGATATAACTGTGATAAATTGTCTTAATTTGTTTTGTAATATGACATATATATATACACAAATAAATCAATCAATCAATTCCAAGTTTGAACAACTTTTTGATTTGCAAATAAAAGTTCATTGCTAATTTGTTTTTCTTTAAAAATACAGTATATAATTTTGTTACCTCTCTTATAGAAATATACTCCAGTTATTTGACTTTTTCCTGTGAAGGCATCCAAAGCATCTTGTCCCTTAAGGTCATTAACTTTACTGTCTGTAAAATCTAACTTTAAATCCACATTCTCACCAAAACACACAGCAATTAATGAGACCAATAAAAGTAGCTGCATTTTGCCTGAAATAATTAAAATAAAAAACCATCTCAACTAGTACTAAAATATTCTTTTTTATTATATACTTATAAATGAAATATTGAGAAATATTGATGAAATAAAATGCGTATTTTCATTTTCCGTATTTTCACTGTAAAAATTTATTTTTCACTGTAGTGAAACATATTTTCCTTATTTTCACTGGTGTCTTGCCGGACTACTTTCTTTTAAATTATGCCAGTACACAAAATTTAAGGGAAAGTCTTTCAAATTTTAATGTCAAAAAAGAGAAAAATGTATATAATAAACAGAAAATTCAAGTTTTTTCTATAAATACATGATTTATTTTCATCTTGTGGCATGAAAATTACCATATTTCACTCGTGGCTACCGCCACTCATGAAATATTTATTTTCATACCACTCAATGAAAATAAATCATTTATTTATAGAAAAAACTTGAATATCCTCTATATATTGAACATATTCTTCACATCTAAATATTATGAATTCAATGTACATGCAAAATCATTGTTTTAAGCATTTGTTCAACAGTTCTTCATTGAAAGCTGGGGTTTTCTTTCAGCAATAAAATTATAAAATAAAATAAATTTGTGTAAAACGGTGGTTTGTGCTGGTAGACTGTTGGACAGGATAAAAATAATATTTTATTTTAGGCCAAAGTTTTAAGTATGTTCTCTTAATGTCTAGGTTATTGTATCCAAATCTGACTACAACAAAGTCCTGCTGTTGGATGCCTGTATCGGAATTCAGATAGTTTGTAAATACAAAATGTATATATCATTTCTTTTACGTACTTCTACCTAATGAAAGCAATAGCAACAGATAAAAAATTATGTTCAATACTAGGAAACATTAGTGTACATGTATCTTAAGTAGATTTTTCTACAAATAGTAATTGACAAATACAATAGATCTATGTATAGTCCAATGTAAAAATATTGGATGTGTGCGCTTATAATGCACAGCAAGTTAAAATATTAGATAAGCCCTGCTAACATCATTGAATGACTTTGAAGTATTCAAGTATTCATGCATTAATACATGTTAAAGTTAATATTAACATTTAACAATTAAACTTTCTATAAAACTGATGGGGACAATGACATTATAAAGGATTCACAACTTAAAAATTAACAATGGATGATCTTTATATCAACAGTAAGATTTCTTGCCCAAAAAATGTACATGATGCCATTTGCAAAAAGATGACATAACTCTGTTTTGTTTTTTCAAAGAGTTGTCTCCCTTTATTAAAATTAAAAAAAAAACAAAAAAACAATACTGCACCAAAGTTTGAATTATAAAATGATATCCACTGATATCTTAAAATAAATATGTTACCTTTTCATAAAAAAATTGCCAACAACATCCGTTATTTACCACATAAAAATAATTTGAAGCTTGAAAGGCTGAATATCCTGGTTGCGTGAAAATTATTCATTGTAAAGAATACTTGACGGTGCATTTTCCGTCTCTGTCCGTCGTGATCCGATTTTTACTCTGATTCTTAGTTACGGAATATACCGGAGAATTTCCGGTTAAAGCCGCCCATTACCGTTAGTTGATAGAAACCAATATGGCCGACGTGTAGCTGGGGAAGAATGAGTTGTTTTTATCAGATTTTATGATATTATGGGAGTTCACGGTAATCCTATTTAATTTTAAGAAACTTTGATACCATTGCATGGTTAATATTATGATGTAAAACATTGCAAAGTATCATTAGAAATTATCTTTTTTGTTTTTAGTGCAAGTTTTAGCATGTCGCCATTTTTTTCAAGTTTAGGTTAAATTTTGTTATGATTTAGGCCTGTGCATGAAAGTTTCTGAAACACCATGCAACATGTAATGTTTTGTTAAAATCCACATTTAAACCAATATTTTTTAATATAATTAATCAATATGGCTGTAACGGGTTATTCAAATTGAGCATAAATTTCACCATAACAGCTAGATTGCAAGATTGCTTTTACTACAGTAGATCTACTTAAAATTAATAAAAAACACAATTACTGTACATTTTCCACTTTTTATTCATTTTGTCAGTACATTTTGTATATGATTTTTTTCTTCACTTTTTAAACTTTTCTTGGGGTCTTAACATGATGACTGGTTACATACTGGTTGAAGTTTGATTCATATTGACAGAAAATGAAGATAGATTTATAGATAAGATAATTTCTAACTTCTTTGTTGGCTTGTAACAAGAACTCTGCATTAATGGTCCAGACTGTGGGCCATGGTGGAAACTTTTCTGGTGACCCCAGAGCTCATTGTATTTTGACGGGACAGACCCTGTTTGTTTCTGACAATATATCAATGACCTGCAGGAATCAGTCTAAAGTAAAACAAGGTTATTTTCGAGTGACTCTTTAGTTTACATGACACTCAATGGATAGACTTGGACAGATTACAAAAAGACCTTGTTAACCTTGAAACTTTATCCATGCTTTTTGAATTACAATTTTATGTCACCTTCCAAGGCCTGCATTGGTTTTGAATAAAATAAGGCACATGTGAACTTAAATCTTAAGAAAATTCTTTGGTCAATATCCAAAACTTATAACTATGTTATGTACATTATTTGTATTTTTGTGATGGATAATTTCCTCTTTATTAACTCTTACATTATCAAAGCTGTTGTATAGCTAAAAAGCACTGAAAATTGTCAAGAGTGCTGTCCTACTGACTGCTCTTGTTGTAAATGTTTTTTCACTGCTACAACATGAATAGTAATATTTTAATCTGACTTTTTTACTTGTAGGTGAAACAACCATGAAGTCTTCAAATTCTCTAAGAGGACAGATGGGACTAAGAAGTGGTCGTAAGTTAAATATTTTTTCTTTTGACATGACTTATATTTGTTATCTTATTATCTAAATGCAAACAAATAATGCCATTATTCAAGACTAAATATGATGTTTTTTTTCAAATAATTTAAAAATATTTAAAAGTTGATAAACTCTATATAGTTTTTGACAGTAGCAGTAGATTTACTAACATATTTATGCTATTTCTAGTCCTAGTTCAAAATCTATACTGCTGTTTTATTTTAGTTTTTTGTGATTAATTTTGATTTTTGTCTTTTGCAGCATTAGCACCAACTTCAGCCAAGCTGACAACACAATATCTGGTGCTTGATCACATGACCAATCATTATAGTAAAATTACTAAAGCTAAGTGTAAGTGGACATATATTTTATAATGATTTCTTTTATATATATCAGAATGGTTATTGGTGGTCAAGTTAGCCATTTCATAATCTTTTCATATATATAAACTTTCTTTAATTGAGTTTTAAGTAGGCAGAGTCTGATTATGCTCATATGATAAATTTCCAGTCTTATTTATAGTAATGGAGATCTTGAGTAAGACTTCAAATAATGATAGGTAGGGGCAAGTAATTTAGAGCTGGCATAACGGTCTTCATAACTAAGAAAGGATATTGCACTTGTTGGAGCATCATTTTTATATTATTTATTATTTCTAAAGAAAAGCCAATTGAAATTCAGTGTTTGTTTTTCTTTCTAGATGTGAAAGTATAATTATTCTTATGTCATTTAAATGATTAATTTTCAGACACCTGTTGATGCTCATTGTTGAATTGTATTAATTCTTTGTTAAATAACTCTAGAGGTGAATTCACACTAATTGCCTCAAAGCAAAATATGAAATGCATGATAGATTGGTAAGAAATCTAAAATGTATAAAACTATTTGTATTACCAAAACTTTCAAAAGATTGATAAATATATTCTTTTCATTTCAGCTGCTATTGACAACAAGCCTCCAAAGTCTATGAGCACAAGTCAGAAAGGTATCACACATGATCATTAACATTTTTCATAGTAATATTTGAACCAAAAACAATTATTTTTGAAAGAGTTAATATGAATAGATAATAACCCAAGTAAACAATTTTAAAAGTAAACAATGAATAATAAATACAGCTACATGTATATATACATGTACATGAAGTATTACTTCTTTTCAAGATTTTGCAAGTTGCACTTATGCATCTTATTTCCTTCTGTTCAATTTACATTTCAACTTCTTATCTTATGCACAAAGCTTGATGAAATAAAATAAAAATAATGTAAAATCTGAAGAAAAATTATCTTACATATATAGGAAATAAATGGATTAGGGTGTCTTGCAGTCTGAATATTTTAGGCTAACTTGATAATTGCTACTGATTCTTTTAATCATATTGTTTACTTTAAATGCATGGTTTAAATAGCTTTTATTTTTAGCTCACCTGTCACAAAGTGACAGGGTGAGCTTTTGTGATCGCTTTTCGTCCGGCCGTAAACCAATTTCATCCAAACTTCACAGGAATGTTCCTTTGTTGGTCACCTTTTAAAATTGTTCAAAGAATTTAATTCCATGCAGAACTCTGGTTGCCATGGCAACCAAAAGAAAAAACTTTTAAATATCTTCTTTTAAAAATCCAAAGAGCTAGATCTTAGATATTTAGCATGTAACATCTTCTACTGAGTGTCTACCAAGTTTGTTCAAATAAAAGCCCTGGGGTCCAAATTGGCCCCGCGACAGGGGTCATTGATTTTCCCTATATGCATATATTGTAAAATCTGAACAAATCTTCCTTTAAAGAACGCAAAGAGCCAGAGCTAAGATATTTAGCATGAAACATGTTCTAATGGGTGTCTACCAAGTTTGTTCAAATAATAGCCCTGGGGTCAAAATTGGCCCCGCCACTGGGGTCATTGATTTTCCTTATAAGTGTATAGCAAAAACTTAAAAATCTTCTTTGAAAAACCCCAAATAGCTAGAGTTTAGATATTAAGCATGAAGCATCTTTTAGTAAGTGTCTACAAAGTTTGTTCAAATAAAAGCCCTGGGGTCAAAACTGGCCCCGCCCCAGGGGTGTCATTGTTTTTAACTATATGTTTATAGTAAAAACTTAAAAAATCTTTTTTTAAAAAACCCAATGAGCTAGAGCTTAGATGTTTAGCATGAAACATCTTCTTATGGGTGTCTACCAAGTTTGTTCAAATAAAAGCCCTTGGGTTAAAATTGGCCCTGCCGGGGAGGGGTCATTGTGTTTCATTATATGTGTGTAGTAAAAGCTTAACATCATGAAACATCTTCTAATGGGTGTCTTCCAAGTTTGTTCAAATAAAAGCCCTAGGGTTTACACTGGCCCCGCTCCGGGGGCCTATATACAGGTGAGCGACCTCAGGGCCATCATTGCCCTCTTGTGTTAGGTTAAATTTTCTGTTTATCCTTTAGCTATATCAATTATTACATGCATTAAGCTCCCTTATTGCTAACAATGAAATGTCTTGCCAATACCAGTATAGAAGAGAGAGCCAGGTTTGCCTGCTTACCTGTGAAACCTGACTAGACTTGACTGACTTATTAACAACGGATAGTTTCAAATGTAAAGCAAGGGAAGTCTATTATACAGAATTACTGGGTAAATGGTTAAAAAGGAAGATAAGATGGTGTATTAATATTTAATTTTATCACATAAATTATGTTTGTATTTCAGCTCGAGATCGTAAGACAAGAGATGTAGTACAGAAGACTGGTCAGAGACCAATGTCAGCCACAAAATCCACACGTCGGCCTCACACAACAACTGGTTACTACAACGATGATGATATATATAATGAAAACCTTTGGGTATAGTCTTCACATTAATTCTTCATTAAATTTTAAATACAAACTGTTATAATGTTTGATTGTTCCATTTTGTCGATATAAATTGCTGGACTTCAAAATAAGTCATATAAGTGTTGAACTAAATAGAGTCATTAGAGAATACCTAATGTTTTTCAAAAACTTTATATTTATAATAAAAAAAATTTAAGGCTAGTATTATGCATTATTATTTAAGATGACTTTACTCAAATTTCATCAGCAGATATGTAATAATAAATTTTTAACTTTTCATTGACCAGACCATCTTAAAAATTGTTTTAAAGATTCCTTAGATGTGTCGATATTTTAATTGAATGTTAATATAAAGTAATAAAGTAAAGTATATAGTAACAATGTAAAAACAAATGGAAATGTTTTTTTAAAACATTTTGCAGGGAGAAGTTGATCCGGAAGATGAAGAAGAGATGATGATACATAACATTATGAGGACAACACTGCGGGAGAATCATGATCCTGATAGCCATCAGGCTGGGAACCCAAACCAGAATCCTGACACGTTCAGTCCATATGCCAGGGTAACACGGCAGAGACCTAGTTCTGCCAGGTCTGCTCGGTCTATGGGCAGTGCTGTTTCTCGAACCATGGTTCAGGTACCAGCAAAGAGAGGAACTTACGATGGGGACTTGCTAGAGAAGAGAGCACAAGTGTTTACAGAACAGAAGCCATTCACTCCCAGAACTCTCAAGACAGACAGGAAGTCACGTCTTAGTCAGTACAAGTACTACAATAAACTACCGCCAAAAGAAGACAAGACTAAGAAACAAGAAGTGCCACAGGAACAAACAACAGAAAAGAAGCAGGTAGAGCCTACAAGTGAATCCAGACCGCAACCTAAACCCAGACACACAAGGCTAGACCGGACTCGTGAAGGTCCAGTAACGATGAACTCCTTAATGTTTGAGACGCTCCATAGCAGAGATTTCAGCAAATATAATGATAAAAATGGACAGAATTCTGACATTCCAAAACTTGATATTTCCATGGACACAGATCATTTGAAATGGATTAAAGATCAGGCTTCTAAAGCTAGCGCGAGAGCAAATAATGATACAATGAAATCAACGGTACACGAAGAGGATCATTTGGACACAAGTGTTGATTTTGGGAATACCGGTGAAATGTCGCTAACATATGGAACACTTGGTAGTTCAAAAACAAGGTAATTACCATACTCAACTTACTCAAAAATATCTGTTTGAGTAAACATGCTTCCATGGACACAGCAGAAATGAGGCTATTTATAGTTATTATGCAATCTGAATAAAAAGATGCAGGGACTTTTTTATCTGTGATACTTATATTAGCAATGAACTGTTAACTGTTATTGCTTTAAGGTTAATGGTATTTATTTATTGTTGTGTTAATGTTGTTGCTCTATAGTTGTAAATATGTTGCAAGTTTTCTGTTTGACTTAAATCTTGCTAAATACACATCAATGACACAAGGAAAATGATTATGGCATTATGAAACAATTCAATCATTTAAAATAGTAGTGATTAATCAAGATTGTTATCATATTCACAAAGGTGTTTTATTTGAAACATGAAAAAGCAAATTCTGAAAAACAAAAAAAGATCCTGTAAAAGTTAGGTAAAAGCAGAATCTTCTGAAACAAAGTGACTTTGTAATAAATAATATGAATTTGAAGCCGAATGTTGATGTTGATTAGTACTAGTCTCAAAACATATTGCATTGCATGAAAAGAAAATGTAGCATAATTTATATCCTTTTTTTTCTAATTTTCTTGTGCATGTTTTTTATTAATACTTACAATGTAACATCTTACCTATGTAACCTACCCAGATATAATTATTTCTCCCCTTCAGACCCACGTTAGGGACAAGTAAGAAGATGAATCCGGAGTAAGTAAATATTCTATGTTATATCCCTAGTACCTCCTAGAAATCTTTAGATTCTTATACCATTATAAGATTCACTATAATAAATTCTCCCTGATCATTTTCTTGTCTTTTTGTTAAACACTACTTCTTTTACTTAACTTGTCTGTATATAACATTTAATCGGTGCATGATTTTTGTTTCCTTTTTCTAAAACTTGCATGATTTTGATCCTGCTTACTTTGGTGTATGTTAAAGTCGGAGGTAATTTATCTCTAAAGTGACTTGATACAGTATGTGCATGATTCTTTTGTTGTTGACATGCAGCAAAACTGTAATGCCTTGTATTATTGCTGCTGTAATTGACATACTTTTTAGTTGGCCGTATATCATGGTGTGTACTTAGAAATACACATTCTCTTACACTAAGCCTGTTGGCAGCTACAAAACTAAGTCAATCCATGCAACCAGTGGCTGGCTGATCACAGTCTGCACTGTTCACTATTCAGTCAGTACATTTTAAAAGGTTTTCATTAAAAATGAGGAATTGTCTTGTCCATATTGAAGATGGACAGGTCTGTTTTAAGATACAAAGTACGGCAAGGGTAAAGGTTATGGACCTGAAATTTTTTTTAGCCCATTATCTTAGATAATCTTTAGCTCGGTTTAGAAAAGCTCGCAAAATTTGTGATTAAAACTTATAAAGTAAACATTGACGAAATAGATTTACTTATACATTTTATACAGAAGAAAACCCAAGCATGTACAGTTACCTCCCAAAAATACAGAAAATACAGGGTGAGTGTAAGTGTTTGGATCACTGGTAGAACAAATGTGGCAAAACAACGCTTTATCTTTGAACTGTACCTGCTACCATTATGCTTTTTTGGTCTCTTTTAAAGTTCTAGTATAAGTAAATTGAAAATTAATTAATCTACCTTCAAGTAATTTAGGTCAGAGAGTAAAAGGTAATTGAAAATTGATTAATTTCTTTTTTATAGAATATGGATTTTTGGATGATATAACTTTTTTATTTGTTAAAGCATATGTTTAAAATTGATGTAAAAACTATATACATTTTTTAACTGTATTATTTTATAATCACAAAATTAGACATTAAATAAAATCTTATTGCACTCTTTTATTTAAACACATAAATTGATAATTGTAAAGATAGACTTCTAACTTTCTTTGTTTAATCTTTTTTTTTTACTTTTTAACTTTGTTCGATTTGCTTTTATTAACTTGAAATTTTGGTGGCTTATGGTTTAGTTAAATTTTTCACTAAACACAATCTTAATGTTTTGTGTATTGAATATTGAAGGAGTAATAAAATGCTTGATCGCTTATTTTCTTGCTTACCTGTCTAATGTATTTCACCTGCCCTTTATTGTACTGTACTGGTGATGGTCATTCTAGCATGTTAAATGTTCATGTTTCACCCTTGAGTTAAATTTATGATGATTTATTTTATATTTGATTCAACAAATGATTGATTTTCTATGTTTTTATGATGTATATGAAAAGCACAGACAAACTGGTAACATCCGTAAGTGACTGTTTGAAAAAAAAAATAAAGACAAGTGATCTTTGATTATATCAGCAAATCTATACATGCTTAAACCTTGTGAAGTACATACCAAAGGAATTTCCTTCCCAAAATGTATATGTATTTATTTCAAACATTTATAGTTTTCATATGAAATAAGTATATCTAAGACATCTAGCTAGCCTATAAATAACATGAGAACATCTTATTTTTACAACAGGAGGAAGCTATGTAACATTATACAGTAATTGACTTCCCCTTTATATTCAGTATTGTTCAAACCACTTAAATCTTATGTACTAGCCAGTAAAAATCTTTTCTTTCCAAATCTGATTGTGTCTTTTTCAAGTACACTTCCTCTTCCAAGAATCTGGGCAAAAAATGTATTTCTTTATCCATAGCAAAAAAAGTTTTTGTTTTTTTTTCAGACAATAAAATGCTTGGCCTTTTTGAATTTCTATCAAGTTTAACAGTTACAATTTCCAATTTGAATCAACGGATTTTTTTTTTAATTCTAAGCTCAACATCTGGGGTCAATCAAGTAAATGATTTTGTACCTTGTTTTTTTTATAGAGAATAGCAATTTATGTGGAAGTTATGATTATATTTACGAATGCAAGAGAAACAAAATATTTGGCGAAGTTTGAATGTAAATCTGTTTTTAACAGAAAAAAAGCAGTGTCTTTACAGAAATAAACATTGTCTTCCTTTGATTTTCCTTGCCATATTATACCAAAGTTAGGTAACAGCAATTATGTTTATATCAGTATTTATAACTTGCGCAGGAAAAACATTTTATATGGTATTAATAATTTTGTTACATTGTAACATATTTTGCACATGATTCACATGTATATTAATATTGTCAATGTACCTGTGCACCAGTTACTATTATAAAATTTTGTTTTGTATAAATTCACATATGGTGTAGATGTAGTGCTCAAGTTTTATTAATAAATCTTATTTTATTAACAATTTATGTTTTGTCTTGAAATACTGATACAAAAATTTCCTACTCAGTTTACAAAGATCTGTTGCTCTGTAGAGATAGATTCTCTCCTATTATTTCACTTTTATTAACACTCAAACTTTTTTAATAAAAAGTAGAACATAAAGAAGCCTTAAATAACATATATACAATATGAACACTACATACTTTTATATTTGTGTTAATTTATAGATTAAATTTTTTAGTTTATTAATTATTTCATTAGGCATCACAGCCACTGATACCTGTCACTGTCTAGTCCTATTTTCTGGTTAAAATAAATTTTGCAGTGTAGAATACCACTGAATGCCTTATTCTAATCACCTGAAGGTTCCTGGTTTGATACCCATTGTTGTATAACTTTAATGTTAAGTAAAGTAAGTAATGTAAAGTCTTTATTTATTGAGGCAACACATTGGATTACCCATTCAAATGTGAATAAAGACGTAATCTTTACTTTAAATACATACTTTATGATACATAAATTTGAAGTCAGATTACAGTTTTACACTACAATTAAATAATTAAGCAGTACATTCCATTACTCTGCTAACTTGAAAGTATTTGCATTCAATTTAATCTACTTTTGAGATAAAAAAAATAGAGGCAGACTTATACATGTACATGTATCTCATTAGAGATCAGTTGCATCCACACTCTAACATATGTTTAACATTTATAAGTTTATAATCTACTATATTTACATTTAAAACATTCCTTGCTTTTTTATACTCCAAAATGAAAGCAAATGAATACGATAAAAAAATATTACAATACCAGAAGCCAGGAATGTTCAGTCCAGTTTGACAATTATCCTCTGTAAAGAGTAAGATGTGAATTAACCTTGAAATCCTGTTACACCGATAATTAGATAATCAAAATTCTGTCAACGTTCACTGACTGATGTAATTTGTTAAAACAAAAATACAAAACAATGTAGTAAAATCCATGAGGCGAGACAAGTTAAGATGTTGAATGATAACAATATATTATCTACATGTACTTTGTCTGCTCTATGAGATATAACTACCTAAGTAGACTTGTTATAAGATATAGGAAAATAAAATAAACCAAACATATATATAGATTTAAAAAAAAATCAAATAAATATAAATAGATTTTTAAAAAAAATCAAACAAATATATATAGATTTAAATCTTTACCTGTTTGAACTGAAAATAATAAAGAAGTCTGTGCTACCAGTATATATACATGCAAGGCTGCACTAGTGTGCATTCTGGCTAAGATCTGTAACTTTGGTAGGCAGTTTTTGTATTTTGATACTGATTTCCCATAAGATATTCAAATGAACTGTTCCAAAATTTTAAATTCAGTAAGTGAAGGGCTAATGATGGTGCGAATTTTAATCATGTTTCTTTCGATTGTGCCTCATATCACTCAGGCTACAAACTGGTGATAATTCCTTGCATACTTAAATCCAATTAAAGATTTTATTAAGTGATGTATTGTATATTTTATTTCTTAAAAATTTACCTAAATTTCTTTATTATACCTTGTCCCAAGTAACAATGACATTATTTGAACCTTTAAGAATTTCCCAGATGATCTGGTGGAGAAAATACCCTTGTAGCTTCTCATGTATTGAATATATTAGACTGTACAAGCATCTTATATTGAACCACATACCTTCATAGCTTCCTAAATGAGAATTAAAATATATAATAGTACAGCAACAAGACATGCAAAAAACCGTCTTATTAGCTCAATAGGTAGAGCGTTTGAATTGGGTGACGTAGGTTTGATTTCCAGACGGTACAGGTCAATTTCATTGTAATTGATCATAAAATCCTTTCTACGGTCATTTGTACTGAACCTCTGCTCTGGCATGTACAGGAGTTACCAGTTCCTTCCGAAAGTGAAAGCAACTGGTACTGGTAAATTGCTTGACAGCCTCCCCAGGAGGGATGCCATGGCTAAACTGTGCTCTGGTAAAGTCAATTTGACTTACTGCCTTGATCTTGAGTGAAAACTACCAACACCACCACAACAAAGCATGCAGTCACTGACATTGACAAATAAAAAAGCTACCGGTATATAAATACAAATGGATAAACTTTTCATCTAAAAGTAGCAGTTTCATGATTAAGTTTACATAAAGCATCAGTTACTATGATGAAAAGATATTTCTGTTAGAAATATTGGTAGGTACATGTATTTCAACTGTTGTATACTACTAACCTTGGTATTGAAGAACAGTATAAACTTAGTGGTTGAATAGTTAACTGACTGATTTGATATTACATATGTTTATATATAACAGATAATAAAATGTTCTAGAACAAAATATTGTAATTCATATAAATGTTGATACCAGATCACTAAGACCTTTTTCAAAAATTTTTATCAAGTAAAGTATATTTAAAGAAAATTCTTTATGATTAATTTCTATTGTTTTTATCAATATTTGAAATCCTTATGGAAAAGGTGCCCATTGTAGACTTATCTTTTTAAAATCAACTCCTAAACTACACTTAACCTTTTATCCCATGAGCATATTGCGAAAAATGGCCGTTTTCATTGAAAAGCCTCCCTTAACAAGTTCAAACTGCTATGAAACTATGAAAAATGCTTCAATACTGATGAAACTTGGCACAAATGTTGACTAGACCATAGCCTCTGAAACAGCATGCTCAATCGTAAATTTTCTGTTACCATGGCAACGGGGGACGTCACAAAATTGCCAAAAATCACTATTTTGCTTTGTTTTTTTTCCATCAAAACTGACTTCAAAGTGCTGCAACTGCTCAATGAATTGAGATAGAGTAAAAGGCTTTTCAGCGTCGGTTACTAGTTACCCTAAGATCGACTTGAGGCCATTTTTAGCCTGTCACATGTCCTAAATATGCTTGGCGATGAGGGGGACTGCAGCCCCCTTCAAACCCTCCAAACAGAAGGGGGCACATCCCCCTTCTGGCAACCCCCTGATGTAACATTTGGATGGGGGACGGCGCCGAAAAAGTGGTCACTTTCTTAAACAACATTTCTCAAACGAAAAACAGTGTTTGGGGCCTAAATAGGGCACTTTTTCACTGTTTGAGGCCTCAAAAAGGGGGGGGGGGGCGCAAAAAGCTGTCGAAACACCCTTATTATAAGGGAAAAGGTTAAATAAGAAGTCCTGAAGTTGGTCAGATTTTACATTTATATTTTCAAGTACATTTTTGTCACATGAGAGCGTGACTTTTCACTGTGACATAAATATTAAATATAATACCAAAATTGCGACTTGCATATATGATCATTAGGGTTTTTTATCTTTATCTTTACAGTTAAAAATACAGAAATTATTCAGACATATATCAAGATTGATGTATTTTATGTTATGTCATTACTCAGCTTTTGTTACAATATATCCTGATTAAAGATAAATCATGACAATAGTTGATATACATTAGGAAATTAGTTCTTCATGTAAATGTCAATTTTATGAAATATGTTATCTTGTTACGGTCAGATAATGTGGAAACTAACAATAATTTATAGGCTCCATAGGCTTAAAGGCTCTAACATTAGGTGTAAAAAAGTAATTTTCAGTTTTGATGAAGGGATTCTAGATCTTCCTGCAGACATAAAACATAAAAAAGATCTTGAAAAAACTAAGTGATGATGATAATTATTTTATAAAAGAAATCCTGAATGAAATTAGTCTGTGCTCTGTAAAAACTTACCAAGTTAATAACACACAGTCCTAAATTACCTTTGGTTAATAATACCAGGCCTCGACACTAACTTTTTTAGCAGGTGGTACGCCGGACCACTAGATTTGAAAGTTAGGTGGTCCTTCCAGAAGTCAGGTGGTCAGTAATCATTATTATGTCATTTAACTGCAAATGTAGAAAAAAATGTTTAAACTTTATGACAAAGATGTATTATTAACATTTAAAGAAAACAGATATTTTTAGATATAAATTTTTCATCTAATCAGAAAAGGGAGAGCAAGTCGGTATGCATTTTATCGTAGAGTTATTTGTTTCAGTAAAAAAAACACAACAGAGCTTTTATTTATGTTAACTTTTATATTAAAGTGATTTCTCCCTCAACTCAAGTTAGGGAATAGTGAAGCCATTTGTGTCTGTTATTTTCTTACTGTTATTCAAATATTCATTGCTGATACGTGGTACGTCTTATAATCATAATAATAACATAGAATCTTTTATAGACTAACATTTTTAATGGAACTAATAAATTATCTTATCCTTGTTTTTGAAAACAAGGAATATCTAAATTATTAAAATAATGACAACGTACATTATTATTTACTATAACTTATCTTATTTTTCTCACAGATTTATAATACAGAATTTTACCTCCCTGTTCCTTGTTGGTTGATATTTATTTTTGACATTGGGTATTCTTAACCTTTTAAAATAATTTTAACTCAAGAAGAAACAGATCTCTTATCTTTAAACAGCTAAAATAAAGATAAATAGCATAGAATTACTAGATGTATTTTTTCCAGTACCTTTAGTTTGCTGCCGTTATTCAAGTATTTGAAATTTAAGTTTATCCTATATCATATAATTACCATCATCGGATACTCACGGTTGATTAACATGTAACATAACATAAAGCCGTGGTTATCAGACGATGCATAATTACTAGCACCATTTGAATGGATTTTGTACCTAAATTTATATAACAAATTCTTAACTCTTTTAACTTGCATAAACAAAATTTTAGCGACTTAAAATGAAAGTTATTGATGACTTAGAACTTCTTGAACTAATCAGAGATTAATGAACCATATACATCAGACATAGATTTTAAACAAAATTATATAACATGTTTTTGACCAAATCGCCATTCTCCCAAATGAGCCTTGCATCAACCAGAAAATTCAAGTGGTCCGACGGACCAGTGGGTTTTAAAATTAGGTGGTCCATGCCAAAATCAAGTGGTCTCGGACCAACGGACCACCGCTAATGTCGAGGCCTGATAATACACATTCCAAAATTACCTTTGGTTAATAATACACATTCCAAAATTACCTTTGGTTAATAATACACATTCCTAAATTATCTGCATCACCAATATCAATATTGGTATAGCACATTTATTAAATTAAAATTAAAAATAGTTATCTTCCATCAGTGAAAGTTATGTCCATTTCATTTTTTGTCACTGAATCTTTGCAGACTAAAAAAAGCATTTTTTCCCCCAATAAGGTTTAATTCCTATAAGTTGTACTACAATTCAATTTGATCCCAGGTCTTACAGAAGTAATGTCAAAGCAAACAAACCCGTAAGGCTTAAATTGAAGATTCTTGGGTGAAGAAGCATTTGTGACGTGCTTAAAATAATGTTCAAAGAAATTTTAAAAGAATTATTAAAATCAAATCTTATTTGCTAAAAGTCTTAACTGGCTTCATCTTATCAAACAATTTTCATGGCTCTTAAAACATTTTTAGATATTCTTCTGTTGCTTTCTGTTTCATATCATTTTGCCAATTATATCTTAAAAACTAATGCCTGATCTTTTAGCTTAGTTAAACTGGAAGTTACATTTACACCAGTTAGTAGCAGACCAGAAAGAATTGGCCCCAGTAATTACATGTATACCATAAATTTAACTCAACACATTTGTGTAGCATGGCTGCATACTAGTATATTAAATGAAGGAGATTTATTTGTCAATTAACTGACAACTTCATAAAATATTTATAAGAACATAATATTTGACAAGCTGTCATCAATATAAGATCAGAATAAAGATGTATGAAAGGTCAGATTTGATAAAACCTATAAAAAGCTATTAACCTAAGCGTACTTAAGCATTTTGTCAAATATCTTGAGGTCAAGCGTTCAATGTTAAAAGTGTTGTATTTTTGACTGGCCAAATTAGGTTTCTGAAATTGATGCTGATTAATTAAACATATAAAGCTGATGTCCAGTGATACATGCAGACTATTTTAATCCCGGCAAGTGAATGCCTTTAGAAAATGAAGCTTATCCTTTTTTGCATTAACTGTAAACTATGGAGCCAGATTTCTGCCATTTTGTTTCATCACCTCTTAAAAGAGGTAGATTATAAAGACACAAAGACAGGATAAAATGCTTACTTAGCGTGCCTTCGCCTTTACTTTTGAGGGTGCCATCATGAAGACACAATATATTTTATGCGAAACGATAATTTAATAGGTGAAGACACAAGATCTTTTTCTGTAGAATTATCATGGCAGGGGATCGAAATCTTCATATCTGTAACACAGTAAAATTATGTAGCAAATTAGATGATAATTTTTGTATTGTTTTAGGGATGAGGAAGCCATGTATGTAAGGTTTATGAGAGATGTAACTAATGAGGTCCTAGACAGGGGAATTTATACAGACAGGTAACATATTGATGATAACTTTATATAGTGTAATATCAGATCTAAATCAACTGTAAGACTATAAAAAATATTAGTTTCTGATTGGGCACAAGCTTGAACATTAAGAGTAGAAACATACAAAAGTCACATATTGCAGTAATTCAATGTAAGTACATTTTGTTGGGCAATTTCAATGCAATAAACAAATGAATGGCTATTACAAATTTTAAAATATGATTCCTTTTCTTTGTTTCAAGCAAAAATATCGTATTTAAATTGGATTGGAAAAGTTTTACTTAGCATAGAAGCCCCATGTGTTTAAACAATGAAGAACATCACGTTTGATTGCTTTATTACATTCTTAAGACATGGTTTGCAATAAGGTACTAATTTTATTATACTTTTTTGCTGTACATAATGTTTTCTTCTGTAATAAGATATAGATCCAACTGATTTAATTTTGCTATGATTATTACAGGGCATTGAGACAAGTGTTTAAATCACATATAGCCAGGAATAAAGGCCATTTAGATGAGGTAAGATTATGAAAAAAAAAACTTTTTGAGGTCAAATATTGTAAAAATATAAAGGAAAGTTATTCTACAAACCCTTGTGTAGGTGTTGCTTGTGCAGGTTCTTTGTGGGCTATATCTTCAGGTCCAATGCATGGATTGGAATCAAACTTCACAAATGCATTTTAATAATCAAACCTATTGCTAGAATTAAATACCATGTTTCTAGCTTGCTTATTGATGAGTTATAGCCCTTGAAGTACTCACATATTCTTGGCAGGTTAACATTTTATATGCAAGTATTATCTCTTCAATGGTAGGCATTCCCTTGAAACTTTTACAAGGTCTTTATTACTTATCAAGATCTGTAACTCCAGCGTTGTTTCTTTTTAGTATGTATATTTTACTGTATTATTCCCCTTTTGAATACCACAAATGAAAGTTGAATCCATACATATAATTCATGTAATTGTTTAATTGTCTTTTGAAATGATTCTATTTATAATTTTTGTAGCTTCGTATGCATGAGATATTGGACAGCATCAGGAAGGAGTTGGACATTCCGCGTTACGATATTGATGATGATACCAGTCTAAATATGACAAATGTTACGGAACCATACAATGAGAACGGCATTGATTCAACAATAGAGCCATACATGTCTCCTGATTATAAACCTTCAAAGTTCAGAGGTCATCATACATTTGATAGTGAAACAGGGTTAAATGGTACCATGGACGCAAGCATAAAATCCAGGGCTTCAAAAGTAAGCACTGTACCGTCTGCTGATTCATATCCATTCAAAAGTGCAGACGACGATGAATTGTATAGTACAATAAGGTCAGATATGAACAATTCTGCAAATCTCACTGACACACAAGCTCTGAAAACATATCAGATGAGCATTAATGAGCAAGAAGAGCTTGAAGAAGGGGAGGTAAATGAAAGTCACGAGGAAGGGGAAGTCACTCCAAGGGAACATCAAAGGGAGGTAAATGTAAGGGCTGTAAGTACTGCTGATAATAGTACAAGAGTTTCTGAAGAGGAAGAAGAAGATTATGATGATGATTATGAAGATGATGGTGATGATGAGGATGACGATGGTCATCATACAACTGAGCCAACAGCCACATACAGAACTGATGATGATGATGATTTTTAAATGATGAAAATATCTATTTTATTGTTAAATGCTATAAGAGTTTATTGTTTATTTGGTTATCTTGTTTATTTGTAAAAGCTTATGTAATTTATTTTATTTGTGAAACTTTAAAAGTTTACTGAATTCAAAGATGTACTAACAAATATGATGAGCTTATGCTATAAAATATCATTTCCGCAAAAATATGTTTTGTTGAATATAAATTCATTATTTTCAATCTTGTAAATATAGCAAATTTACTTGCAAAAAAAGTGATTATGACATTTATTTAAACATGGTGTAAACTATGTGCAAAGTCTCTATGATGTATTAAACATTTCAACTTAGCTCCCACCCCTTATCGAAAGTCTATTTCCAGATGTATATATAAAAAAAATCACAGGGTATTCTTTGTATGATTTTATCTTCATTTCTCTTTTCTATTTCTCTTCTTTATTTTTTTTTGAAGAATTGTTTTTATGTCTGTGATGTCAAAAGAAAGCTGTCTCTTACAAAATCCATCCATATTTGTGATACATGCTTTTATTGTGTCATTGATATTTTGTAATATATCTAATATATCTCACTTAGTGCAATCTCATCCTCATGTCTGTGTTCTATATTTTCACATGTTTTCATTGTAACAATTTGTCTTATCGTCCCTTGCTTTATCATTATCATTTACTAGTTAGTCTGGTGTCATGTAAAGATTGAAAAGTTATAACTTAAAAGTGTGACAAGATTGATTAACAAAATTTCTTTATTAAAAAATTTGTTAGCCAAACGTGCATTGAAATTCGAGTCAATAAAAATCCAGTTTTGAGCCCCTAAATCCAGCTTAAAAGTGTGACAAGATAGGTTAGCAAAATTTTATTTTAAAAAATCTAAGCCCTTGCACAAGATAAGTAACCTTTTAGATTTATCTGCTTTTCAAGATGACACTTTTTGCACAAGATGCCATAAAATTCACTTTTTTTTTGTTTGCAAAATTTACAAAAACTATCAAATCAAATGCCAAAATATGGAACTTTTAAATTTATTTTTCATAGAGTAATGCTTTTCTATACTCATTATAGATTTGAATATGATAAAAATTTAACATTTGTTCTAATAAATACATTTGCTTGATATTCATTGACTGTTGGATATCGAGTACTTCCTTGCACTGCAAAGGTACCACTCTAGTTGTATCTGTCACACTTCCTGGTCATGAAGGTCATTAAGTTCATCCAACATATCTTAAGTTTTAGTTTTGCATTTTATTTAAATGTTTCATATACATACATGTATATATTCTTTTTTTTCACAATCTTTTGAGTTTTGATATTACAATTACATTAGTCCTTTTTTATATTTTTGGCACATAGATGTATTTTCTCTGACTTATAGATATTTAAATATTTGTCTGGTGTTATTGTATACATGAATGTAAAGGAATAATTGGTATTTAATATGAAATAAAAATAAAACAAAGCTCACACTAAAAATGTCATTAGAAAGAAACTTAAAGTTCTTCATGTTTGTATTTCATTAGAATACATTGTATCCAAATCAAATTATGACTGATTCCAAGATGTATGCTTATTTTTTCATGTTGTATTATTTTTGTTGTTTCCACTTCATCAAATATATAATGAATAGTTATAAAGAAAGACAGACATGTGAAAATGGCTTTATTAAAAGTTTTACAATAATAATGTGATATTATATTTGCTCTTGAATGGCTCAAACTTTGTGTATAAACATGGCTATGTTTTATTGGTTTGTGATAACTACTTTAACATTTGTGATAGCTATTCTACAGGGAAGTCTCTAAAAAATTTTATTATAACAGGTATTATGATATTGTTACAAAATTTACAGTAAAGTTTATGAATATTTATGCCTTTGAATTTTAGAGAATATCAATAAATGGCATACTGTAGGTCTGGAGTACAAAGAATGTTTCAAATAATTGATGCTCATGTTCTTAATACATACTGTTGAATTTAATCCCTGTGATTTAATGTGTAAACTTTATTACAACCAAAAAAAAATACATTTTATTGTTTGAAGTAAGTGGAATAAAATTGTTAGTCTACATTTATAGGTGAATGAAACCTAATAATTATGTAACTCTATCAAACCACATGACACTTTTTGTCTACTAAAACAAATTGATTACTTAAATTTATATCGTAATGTAAATTTAATGATGAATAATAATGAGACATTTACTAAACACACTTTCTTTTTTGTAGCTTCTAGTTTTTTTTGTAGGTACATGTACTTGGATATGACAATACTGTTTAATATTCTATTGACATATAGTCCGTTTTTAACAATTATTGTAAAAATTGGTGGTTCACTATACAAAGTGTGTTTTTAATATAATTTCTATTTATGGTGTTTTAAATATCAACCAACTTGATACAATTTATGTACAAAGAACATGTGATTTTAGTAATAATAATATGATTTTAAAAATTATATGATTTCTTGCACTTAGATATTTGATTTCTGATGTTAATATATATGCTTTGTCACTGAGTCTAGTTAAAATATATATTATATCTTACTTTTATGTGATTTCATATATTCTTTATAGGAGTTTCATTACTGCTGACTCACTTTTTCAGTATTGTTGTTATCTTAAATTACTGCTGTCATAGAAATATATTTGATAGAATTTATAGCACTGTTATTATATCATGTTTTATAGATGATATCCTGGTTTAACGTTAGATGGTCTTATTATCTTTAAATAGGTAATTTAAATAGAATTTACTGCTGTAGAGAAACGTATTTATATCAGTGGCTTTCACTGTATGTATTTTGTCTTATATTTCATTGTAAAGGAATGATACTATAATATTAAGATTTTTCTATTTCAAGGGAAAAATAATGAACTGAAAATGTATTATTAAATTCTTTATTTTGTCTTTTTTCTCTCTTATTAGAAGTGATAAAAGATAAACTAGATTTGTTGTGTAATTCAAGTCAGAAAAAAAAACTACAACAGAATATTTATGCATTATTTTCACTGACACAAGTTCCTGATTTTATTCTAGATATACTTGACTGCAAGTATCAGATTTTTATGTGACATAGATTGAGAATATTTCATATAGATACTTATATTTATTATAACAATATTTTGATATGTAATTACAGTTTATTGGTGTTATATCAGACTTGTTTCTTTTTTCTTCATATTTTATCATAGAATAATTATGTTTAAATGAATTTGTTTTACATTTTAATTATAGGATATTTTATAAGCTTTTTTGTACTTTATATTGGGGAAAGATAAGAAATTGATTCTCCTGGGGTTGGAACACTCACCCCGCAGATTCAATGCAGTTTACAGTAATTCTATCCTATTTAAATACTCTTCAAAGTGGAGGTAATATATAAGAGGGCTCATACCTTATTTTGTACTGTATATACATTCATTAAAGACATATAATTGCCATTTTTATGATTCTCCAGAAACATTCAAGTTTTTAAAACTTTGAAACAAAGAAAGATTTGTTTACATTATTTCCAGTGTTATGATTTTTCATAGATTAATTTGTAGACATGTTTTTTTTTAATTTAAAGATCAAACTTTAATCCAGAATTTTTCTTTCAAAGATATAAAGATTTATAAATTTTACAATTATAATTATACAAATGTATATATATATTAGCTGATGTATTTAAAGTAGTAGTGCAATAGGTGTGGTTGTGATGCAATTTATAAAATTATTATAGCTTTATAATTATATGGCTGCAATTTATAACATTATTATAGTTTGATATATGGCAACATTTCTAAAATTATTTTAGCTTTATATATGACTGCAATTTCTAAAATAATTATAGCTTTTTTTTCTAAAATTAGTACAGTTTGATATTAGGGCATAATTTCTAATGTAATTGTTGCAACAATTTCTGAAATTATTATAGTTTGATTTATGGCCGCAATGTCTAAGTGGTATATGACTGCAATTTCCTACATTATAATAGTTTGAAAATATGACTGCATTTTCTAATATTATTATAGTGTGATGGTTGACAAAATTTCTAAAATTATTTTAGTTTACATATAGCTGCAATCTTTGTTGATGTAAAAAACAACAACAAATCAAGAATATCCTTTATTATTATTATCTGGTTTATCATTTGAAAAGAAGTTTTTTATTTCTTAGTTAGTACTTTTCAAACAGAGTCATTATATTTGGAATATAAATCTTTTTAAAGGTGGTTCCTACTCACAAGTTTGACTATGCTTTAGTTATGTTTATATCAACATTTTTGTGCAACATTGTTATCAAATGCATTTACTATTGAAGAGTAAATATGGCAAAACCTGTTTGTAAATTTTTGAAATAAAAGTTAAGGTTAACCTTGAGTTTACTGGTTGTTAATTTTGCTCATGTGTAATTTGTATTTGTTGTACATTCTGCTGACACATAGCAGTATTATTATGTATTACTTACTGCATTCATTTATATCATGAAATATGCAATCTTATATGTAGGCATGATATAATAAAACTGAAAATGAAACTAGAAAACGGACCATGACCCCTGTTCTGCTGATTTCTTGCTTTTATTGTAGTTTCTGAAGATTTGACATCATGTGTCAAAAACTGTTGGGAGCATTTCTAAATGTTTTGTGTGTGTTTTACTGTAATGCAACATAATTGCCATGTATAATGTCCCTTTAATGGGTTAAAATATGTGCTGTCTGTAAATAATGTTCAAAATCTCATTATTAGTAGTAACTTTGCATTAATTCACATACATTCCACCTAACTGTTATGAATTTGTGTTGTTTGGGGGCTGAGTTAGGTACAATCATAACAGGGGCATATTTTGAAAAAAAAAGTATGGTACAAATGAATTTAGTTAAGTAATTATTAGTTAGTAATTGTATACAGCTGTGATAATTGATTGACTTGAAAGTAATGAAAAATTGTTCCCACTGTAGCTATTTTTGCTACAACTGCATTTGAAAAATCATGAACGTGTCAAGAATATCTCCGATGTTATTAAAAGTGAAACAATCCTATCAATTTAAGCTTGAAATGTTTTGTCTGAATTACTTATTCATTGGTCATGTTATAGGAAACTTGATGATAAAAAAGGGGATTTCTTGTTGCTATTGTTACTAATGTAAATTGGACAAAATTCACTGTGCATGTATTATATAAACCTATCCCCTGATGGAACCAAAGGTGATTAGCCTTTGCCACCTGTATAGAGTCAGGCCAACCTGTACATCCATGCAGTCTGTCTGGGCTTTATACTGTTAGTAGTTCAATTTCTGTATTTTGATAATGAAATCTTTATTAAAAACTTCTAAATTAAAAAACATGGCAAAGGCAAGAAAGGTCAGGGTCTATAGAGACAGTGGCACTGTATTGATACTTGAGGAGACATGTCATAGAAAATTTTGAATTGTTTTTAAGAAAATTGTTTTATTTGAAAGAATTGTTACATATTGTACTAACATGCATTCTATTACATTCCATTATCACAGTATGAGAAAATTTTATTCCAATTTTAAGGTTTTAGGGAAAGTGTATTATTATTCAGAAATCTTTTACATACTTGTTGCTAAGAAATAAATGTTATATTGAAAATCTTCTGTGTTTGTTGTTATATAACTTTAAATTTCTTTAAATGTCCAACCTGTCTAGATTTCAAAGTGTATCATTTTGCTCAAATTATTTTTGTGGCTCCAGTTTGCAGCTACAAGACATAATTAAACTA